CGGGGTGTCTATTTTTTGACAATACGCGAAAAAACTTTAAATTAAATCTCGTACTAGCTTGAATTTAATCCGATTACTTCTTGCTTTTAAAGCAAAGGTCAAGGAGTAGTGACCTCACTGGACGGCATTAACGGCCGGTCGATTCAGACGTTACTGAGGGAGTAATAACGACTCGAAGTAATCGGATGAAATTCAGGCTAATCTCGTACTCGTGGTCGTTCTCGTCCTCGAATCGGTCATTTCGGAGTTGCGTAGGGAACTGGGGCGAGTTTCAAATTTAAACTAATGATAATCTGACACCACCATATAAAAGGTCATGTTGAGATTGGCTATTTCACCAAGTTTGGTGCTCTAAAGGGGAACAGGGATCAAGTTATGACTCTTGAAACATGGTTAAAGAACGTCTGTAATTTTGTGACAGCGTCCCCCAAAACCATATAAACTCTTAATTTTTTTCACGATTTCTGTGATATTCCTGAAAATCGGCAAACATAGTGATTTTCGAATTAGTTCCTTCCAAGTAGTAGATGCATGACGAATTTTACGGTTTAACAGAAAAAATGAAACATATTTTTAAGAGTTTATATGGTTTTTTAAAAAGATTAATTAAGGCGCGTACAGTACGAATTTCTCATAGTCAAATGTATCTGAAACTAAGGCTATTTAAAAAACTTCTTTCAAAACGTTCAGTGTTTATCTTAGGTAACTGACTAGCACTTCGTCTTAATCTAAGGGAGGACGCTTTGGTTTGGGGAAACATAGGGTACAACAAGTGAGAACTGTCGCTACTAATTTTATTGAAGAGTTCCCTATCACATTTTTCCAAGACTTGGCTCGTGGATATTATAACGGTTTTGAAGAGTAGTGCCTCTTAAAGCATCTTTTTAGGAAGCATTGTACTGTATTTAAATCCGCTTGGCATGCGCCAAGATCTCTCAGTATCTCGATCGTTTTTCTTTTCACAGAAATCAAAGATGACAGTCCAACACCAGATGAACTGGAAAGTCTGTCAGACAAAATCGGTGACAAGTGGAAAAAGCTTGGTCGTCGGCTAAAGTTTGATGAAGCACAGATAACAGAACATGACAAAACCAATGATAAATTTTCTGAAAAAGCTTACAAATTGCTGCTGGCTTGGAAAGAAAGGGACGCCTCAGCTGCAACTTACCGTGTTTTGCACAAAGCACTGTCTGACGTAGAACGTAAAGATTTAGCACAAAAGTTTTGTTGTCAGTGAAAGTGCTATTTTACCATTTTCTTTGCATTGTAAACGTACTGCAGCCGGATGTTGAAAATTTAAAGGAGACAGTTTGCAATACCCTTAATTACCTTGACCTGAAATTGCATAGAGTCTAACGTTTCATCCACTCTCATTTCGTGTTATGTGGTCTTTTACTAAGTCTACTTAACATTTGCGAAACAAAAAAATTAGCCTGATCAAAAGTTAGATAAATAGCTTTATCTTTCTTAAGTACTACTCATACATGTTCACTCAGTCAGTCAGTAAGTCATTCAATTTGTCAGTTAGTAAGTCAGTCAGTCTGTAAGTCATTTATTTAGTCAGTCATTTAGTTATTCGATCGTCCAGTCAGTTAGTAAATTATTCAGTTATCCAGTCAGTCAGTTAGTCATTCATTCTGTCCGTCATTTAGTTATTCAGTCATTTATTTGAGTCGTTGTGTGAATAAGTCAGTCATAAATCGATCAGTTGGGTTGTTCTTCCGTCCTGTTAGTTGATCTGTTCGTCAGTCATCCGGTTATTAAGTTAGTGTTTCATTAAATAAGTAATAATAGCCTTTCTGTAAAAATAGTAATAATAATCAATTATATTAAAACAATAATAGGAATAGTGTATGTACAATATCAGGAGGATAAGGAAATATCTCAGCATAGAATGTACTGAAACTCTGATACATGCCTTTATTTCTAGCCGCCTTGACTATTGCAATAGCCTCTTATATGGCTTACCAGCGTATCAGATTCAAAAACTGCAAAGAGTCCAGAACTCTGCTGCACGTCTTGTATTTCACGAAAGTAAATTTTGTCATATTACACCATTGCTC